AATCTTTGGTAAGAATTTTGTCCTTTTGGTATGCTAGCCAAATGTTTGTTAGTGTTGATGTACCCACTCGTCATGCTATATTGTACATATATCTCATGTACACTTGTAAATATAATTTTATCTCTGACTGATCCTGCATTAAGTACAGTTACATTTTATTCAAAGTTGTGTAATTATTGGTGTTTTAGCCTTCATGTAAATTTGTGACGCCCTGCATTTTATTTTATTTTATTTTTTCTTTCTCTTCTTATTTTCAAGAAATCCCCTGACCTCCATTTAGTCTTTACATTCATAGATTTGTCAGTCTTTCCATAAATATTATGGCCACATCCATCTAATACGCTTGGGTTAAGTTTCCTTAACAATAATTTATTAATCCTTTATTTATCCAGGTAAAAAATCTCATTGAGATTAAAAATCTCATTTCCAAGAGAGACCTGGCACCATGGCAACAATAATAATAATCTCTATAAATGGATATCTGCATATGAATATGGCAAACCTGCAGACAAGAGGTAGGATCTATAGTGCTGGGATCATTCTAGTTTGCATTTATAGTCAACTTGTAGTCAGACTTCTAGTTACCAATCAAGTTTTGGCTAATGTAATGTATTTGTATTTATATAGTGTTTTTCTTGTCTTATTCACCTCTACAAATCCGTATTGAATAAAGGCTCTTTGAAGAAAGAATACGCAGAGCAGAGGGTCTCAGATTGGAGTCGAACCCAAGCCACTGCATTTTTTTCTGCAACACATGGTCACCTGAGCAGTCACATTTTTAACCATACACTGCTTTATTCTATACACCGCTATACACTACTGTCACGTGACCCAACTGACTTCAAGTGTTTTATCTAGCTCACATCTCTGACCGATTTAGAATCACTTAATCTAACATGAATGTGTTTGGGACTGTGGGAGGAAATCAGAACACCCAGAGGAAACCCACACAGGCACAGTGAGAACCAACAATGTCCACACATATAGCCCACAGCTGGTTGGCCTTCTTGCTGTGAGGCAACACAGGTAATCACCACACAACCACAGCATTTGAGAGTGAGAATAAGATTGCCTTTTGGCAAATGCAATCCCTTTTTTGGTTTACACAGCAGGCAACAAAAGCAATCTAGGAAAGCAATCTTGAAACCATCATCTAATGACTCTTATCAAAGTTGTTTATTTGCTTTGTTAAATTTATATTTATTTGAAAATACTGACTAAAGTAGCTATCTGGCCAGGGGCAGTGTGGAGTGCAAAGTTTGCATGTTTGGGTACTCCAGCTTTCTCCCACAGTCTAAAGACTTGGAGATAAATTATCTGAATTTCAGGAGCGGGAACATGCCTCCAAACAGCAAGTAACTAAACTCGCTAACAGACAAAAAACTTGACAAGAAAGCACAGTGGATATCATCAAATTAACACCAAAAACAGAACCCAGAAAGCTAAAACTAAGGAGGGCTGAAATTTAAATGCTAAGCACAGAGTAAAAGCCAAACAACAAAAAACAAATGATAAAACACTAAGACATTAGAACTATGCAGAGAACCCAAAACTGGAACTCAGACTCAGAATCAAACCCCCCCAATAGTCCAAACACAGAAACGCTGGGGCAACGACCCAGGACCACGACACAGTGCTCTGGCTGTGAGCCTTGCAAAAGTGTCTGAAGTTTTAGCAAAATAATTTTTTTATGATTTAACAAATAAACAATACTGTATTTCTCACCACACAGAATCAAAGTAATTGACCACCACTCATCTGTAATGTATACTAAACTGTTTACTTGTGATTTCTGATGTCCAAATTATTTTTTACCAGGATGTCTTTGGCAGAGATGGGCAGTAACGCGTTACTGTAATCTGATTACTTTTTTCAAGTAACTTGACCAGCACTGGTCTTTGGTAGTAACTGTTATACACAAACAGACAATGCTTTAGGAGCTCAAAAACAAAGAAAAACAGAATAAGTGTCTAAATATTGAGAAAAAAAATAGAGATATAGAAAATAGGAAAAAAATGAAATAAAATTCATGTCATGATAGAGAAATAGACAAAAATTTGACCAGAAATTTAGTTTGTTCCAGTTTGTTCCAAAATTGAGAAAAATAGGTAAATGGGACTAAAACAGAGACAGAAAGCCATTCACATTTACAGCCATACATAGTTTAGAATTGCCAATTAACCTAAACCCACTAACTGCATGTTTTTGGACCGTGGGAAGAAGTCTGGGCACCCAGAGGAAATCCACACAGGTACAGGGAGAACATATTATTTTCACCAATTTAATTCTGAAATGACAGCAACACCCTTGGAGATGCCCAACATTACCGTAATATTCCCACATTCATGGAAAGATTCAGGAAAAAAAATGAACTCAGCTATTTTAACTGTTTCTTTGATATGATGTTAATTACACTGAAGCAGGTGTTTAGTACATGTACACATTACCTACCTACAATGCAGCGGTGCTCTCAGTACGCTAGTCTGGTTTGCTTTGGTTCTGAAGAAACACTGTCCAATGCAATGATGTAAACACTGGGTCACGTTCCTAATTCCACTGAAAAAAACTAAATCTAAACTCAGTTTGACAGCTAAGTTGATCCCCCTCCTCATTTCCCCAGTAGAGCTTGGCTTGTGTTTTCACCCCTTTTAATC